GTTCATTTCACAGACACAGCATTCATTCAAAAAACACAAAGAAACTTCAATGTGGATTGTCGATCACAGGGGTTCTTGGGAGGCTACTTCCTGTTACTAGTTCTCCCATGCTACTAAATGTCACTGCACAGTTGAATGTTATGGCCTCCATAATATCTTCCAGAGTTCTAATGATCTTGGAACATGCACAGATCATTAAATGAAGTGATAGCACTCAGACATTAACAGGCCCAGATGAGGTCCCATTGCTGAACTGTGCAGTCCACTGAAATGGGCAGCATGCCTTCGATTACTACTTTTTCATTGCCACTTGCAACACTGAATTCATCATGCCAAATAGCAGTACAAGTGCTTGGAATTTGTTGTAATTTAGTGAAGCAGGAAGTGAGATGGACAGTACACTTTTTCTTCATCGCCTCGTATGTCCGTAGATCAGAAGCAAACCTTACATTGGACAGTGAATAATAAGCCTTGCCTTTCAACAAAAGCTACATGGCAAGATTTTGAGTGGAATATTGAGTCACTGTTTCATTGGCAGGGATTCACATGTTGCTGCCAGCTTATTGGAAAATTGTGGGTGTATTGGCTTCAATTTTCCCTTCATCACCATAGAGTGAAAATTGTTGCAATTCGTTCATGATTGTTTCATTGAATCCTCAATTCAAATGTTGGTCATCCCAATCACTAAGGTATTCCCTGGTGTTTATCAGAAATGAATTAGCTAGTGGAAGAAAACAAAGTTTGGTCTTTTTCCTGTGGACGGGGGAGGAGTCTTAAAATCTCTTTCCCCATCTGCTGTATGGTCTCTGTTTGATTTGTTTTTTAATCAACCTGTTTGGAGGTGTAATTGTACACCTCCAGAGCAGGTGGGACTTGAACCTGGGCCTCCTGGCTCAGAGGTAGGGACACTCAGTGTCACAAGAGCCGATATGCACTGAGTTTGAAGATCATTTCCCACATTGAAAGCAACTGGTGCTACTTAATGGGGCCCCTTTTCAGTTCACATTTTTTCTAGCTGGCTTGTTTTGGCTTTTCTTAAAGCCAGATTGTTTCAATTGGATGAGGGATGTCAAATGGCTCCCTCTAGGTATGTGTACCTTGAAGAATGTGTATCTTAAACTATTACCTCATAATTTCTACCTCAACTGGATGTGATGTATTAGTCTAATGACTTATGTTCAGTCTGCAGGTAGCTGGAATAGATATCAGATATACTGTACTTAATCTCCCAGTTAACTTTACTTGAAGGTATGCTATAAACAAAGAATTTACATCAATATAAGAGTCAAATACTATGGAAGCTGGAAGCCTGAGACAAAAACAAAATGTGGGAGAAACTCAGCAGGTCTGGCAGCATCTGTGGAGAAAGAAACAGTTAATATTTAAGTTTGATATGAGTTTTCTTCAGAATGCAAAAGAAACTACATTATTGTTTGAATGATCCTTGTCATATGTTTGGTACGTTTATGCTTTTCTGAAGAAGGCGTCCTGACCCGAAACGTCAGCTGTCCTGCTCCTCTGATGCTGCCTGTCCTCTTGTGTTCCTCCATCTCCACACTGTGTTATCTCAGACTCCAGCATCGGCAGTTCTTACTATCTATCACACGGTAACATCTTGTGTAATGAGTAGAATCTCCAAACAAGCATATCACCTGGTTACTTTGTATGACTATACTGAGCCATTCTTGGAAAGACTTAAAATCTAACATCAAGTTCTTCACTGTCCGGGAGAAGCAGTCATTTAGGAGCTTTGGTAACTGAATAGACGCAAAGCTTATGTAGCATCTATTGTTTCCTCCATGTCAGCTAACTTGTGCAGTGGATCTGTGGAATTGCGTGCACAGAGTTCTCTCCACACTGAAAAGAAAGTCAAAAAAAGCCTTGATGAGAGAACATCACCCTGAAATTTTATCTCTGGTTCTGTCTGTGGTCCTGTCTGACCAGCTGAGTTTTTCTTTCCAGCCCTTTTGCTCTTTTTTAAGGTATCCCATATCCACAGTATTTTGCTTTTTGTCTTTATGATTGAGCACCATGCCTGCAATTAAGCGCCACCAAACAAAGACACTTCCTATATTTTTCTCGCCCTTTATGGGACCAAACATCATAAGAACTAAGGTAAGACGTAGGTCACTTGGCCATTTTCAGCTTCCATGGCCATTCTCGACTTCCTTGGCCATTCATGCCTAATCTCGACCTCACCTCCATCCTCTTGCAATATCCCCATAACCCTTCATTCCCCCAGGACCCAAAAAAAAATCACATGACCTCCTTTCTAAATATATAAAAAACCCTATCTGAATAGGATAGAGAATTTAGAAGAGTCACAACCCTTTCAGTGGAGACATTTCTCCTTATTTCTATCCTAAATGGTCGATTCCTGTTCCTGAAGCTGTGACCCTGTGTTCCAGGTTCCCTAGGAATCATTGTTTCAGCAATTACCCTGCTATGTCTGCATGATATCGGTGTTTAACATCAGGTCACAGTTAGTTGAGAGTTGACAGTTGAAAAATGATTTATGGTTCAAACCGAATGTGAATTCAGACTAGTTCAAGTTAATGATGCATTTATCTTTAATTCTAGAGCATTATTTAACTAATGGGATGTGTGTCAGTACTTCTAGCAACAAGGTAAAGCCTGAACTCTTGACAAATATTTGTTGTTTTGCACTGACCATTGTGAGGCTTAATTACCATAAGATTTTGAAGTCTAAGCAAGGCTTAACAGCCCAATGTTTGCCCTTAATGTGTGAGAATATTTGTGTTTTTTTTAATAAACATCCTTTTCTTCATAGGGTCATCCAGAGGCAATAAAATGTCCTGGAGTCCTTATGTGTCCTACCTTACTTAAGTTGAAGAACGCAAAGGTGAAAATAAATGATCATATTGGGGCGAGAGTTAAGGAATGTGCAAATCAAACCATCAGTAGTTAATTGGGATTGAAACCCATTTCCTGTCATTAATAAACATATTGTTCTTGCATACTGATGCATTCTCAGTGTTATCCACATGTTATTTGATCAGAAAAATAACTAATATAGAGTCATGTCATTCAAAAAATTATCTTGTTCTTGAAGCAGCCTGGTATAATATGGTCTGCTGAATTTTAGTCACTCCCTTTGTGCACAAACTTTACATTTTTTCTATTCAGTCAGTGAGTGCTGTGGTTGAGCTATCATTTATTGACCATCTCTATTGCCCTTGAGAAGGTGGTGGTGAGCTGCCTCAGAGTCATAGAGTTATACAGCAAAGAAACAGACCCTTTGGTCCAACTCGTCCACGCCAATCAGACCTCCCAATCTGACCTAGTCCCATTTGCCAGCATTTGGCCCATTATCCCTCCTAAGCTCTTCCTATTCATATACCCATTCATGTGCCTTTGAAATGTTGTAATTGTACTTGTCTCTACTACTTCCTGTAGCAGCTTGTTCCATACGCACACCACCCTCTGTGTGGAAAAAGTTACCCCTCAGGTCTTTTTTAATTCTTTCCCCTCTTACTTTAAACCTATTCCCTGTAGTTTTTGACACTCCAACCCTAGGAAAAAGACTTTGGCTGGTCACCCTATCCATGCCCCTAGTGATTGTATAAACCTCTACAAAGTCACCCCAAGCCTCTGACACTCCAGGGAGAATAGCCCCAGCCTATTCAGCTTTTCCCTACAGCTTGAGCTTTTTTCCTGGCCTTCTTGTACTATTGCAGTTACTCTGTGGGGATACTCGCAATGCTGTTAAGGAGGGAATTCCAGGATATTGACCCAGTGACCGTGGTGGTAGCTTGGGAAACTTGCGGGTGGCGGTGTTCCCTTGTATCTGCTGCCTTTGTCCTTCTAGATGGAAGTGATCACGGATTTGGAAGGTGCTGTCTAAGGATCTTTGAATTTTTTGTGCATTTGCTAGATAGTACACACTGCTACTGAGTATGGTGGTGGTGGTGGGCGGGGGTTGTGTGTATGTGTATGTGGTGCCAATCAAGCAGACTCGATGCCCTGGATGGTGTCATGCTTCTTGAATGTTGTTGGAGCTGAACTCATTCAGGCAAGTGGGGAGTATTGCATCACACTCCTGACTTGCGCCGGGTAGATATTGGACAGGCTTTGAGAAATCAGAAGGTGAGTTATTATGAAGATTATGGGCAGAAGGAGGATGAATCCTGGAGCCCATGGAAGGGTGAGAAAAGCTGGAGACCAGGTTTGATCAAGCAGAGAGTGCTGATGGAAAAGTAGGGTAGAAGCTTAGGATATGGGGTTTACCCTGATGCACCCAGTACACCCAACTGAATGAGTTGCCCCCTCTTCCCAGCTTTGTTCATGCCTGTCTTTCTTATTCAGTGGAAAAAAGCTACTTTCACAGTTATATTTTGCCAAGTTCAGGTGTTCCTGATTATTTGCTTGCATATTGTGTTTGGGAGGTGACTTTGGGGTGGGTGAGCAGGTGACTGGTTGGGCATCTGACCTATTTTAGATGCCATCAGCAGGCAAAAATACCTCCACCATAGTTAAGTAATATTCAGCCCATGAGTTTAGAGACAATAGCTATAACGTGAGCTGTGACCACCTTGTCTGTGCTGTACATTAAACACAATATGGCTCGAGTAACAAAGTAATTTTGATCCTAAAATATCAGTACAAGTGGTTGAACTGCCTGATAGGAATTTGTACGATTACAGATATTGTTCATTCTCTGATGATTAACAAGATTGAAAAAGTATGAAATTGTCAAAATGTTGTTGTATTGGGTGTAAGTAAGCATATGGGGACTTCAAATTGGCGTTTATCAGGTGAAGCACTATAGGACCCCTTGTGTTGCTGAAATCAGTACAAACATATAGGTGCATAGCTGTATTGTTGCTCAGTTCTATGTAAAAACTTAAGCTTTGTCATGAAATAAAGTATGTGCAGGTCTGAAGTAAATGTATGTGACACTGTGTTGCATTTTAGAATTGGTCAATGGCCACAAATTAAACACAATATATTCTATTTGTTCTTTTTTTTTTCTGTCACAGGTAATTTTGTACCAGGGAGGCCAGGTAATTAGTGGAGCCACCCAGTTTAATTCCCGTGTCGGCTTTGTCGTCACCATGCCGAGCACAATTGCCTCCATCTTCATTAATAATACACAACTGTCAGACACAGGGACATATCAATGCTTGGTGAACAACCTGCCTGACAGAGGAGAGAGGAACATAGGCATTCTTGGATTGTCTGTATTAGGTACATTATTTATTCTTCTGTCTTTTTCTGAGATTATGATCCGGTATGCAATGCATAAGGTATAATTTTGGCATGCTGTGCAAGAGTTATTGCCTCCCAGTTACCATGAGGGTGCACACATGACAGTATGACTTGTGATGACAGTTGATCCACCTTATTGCACGGTTGTTCAGTATTCCGAAGAGATGAAAGCTGCAAATTACCATGATCCTTCAGTGACAGAATGAATGGTGAAATTGAGGCTATATTGCTGACTAGAAAGTTTATTTTCTAGGCTGGCTTTTAAGCTTACAGGTCAACTTGAGACTGCCATTTTCAATCCTATTTTCACTTGCTATTAATCCCCACACCTCAAAGTTGTATTAAAATTCAGTTATGTAACACTGGGCTATCCAGTTATAGTGTATTTATAATGTAAGGGTATCAAGATGTTGAATTCTCACCATCTATTTTGTAATTTTAAGCACTGTCATATTTGGAGTACTGTAACCAAAGCTGTACTTTGAAGCATCATGACTTGAGCGTCACTGAATTATAAAAGATGGCAACTGGAAGTGAAGAAGGCAGCAATTAAGATTAAAAAGTTTGCACTGGTTTTCTATCCATTATCTTGCCCTGAGCTGGAGTGGAAATGGCAGGGAAAAAAAAAGCATAATTGGATGAGAAAACGTTTTACATTTTTCACCTTGAACTAGATTTCCCATTATTATCACCTCTGGCCACCTTTCCCTGACTGCTGTATTTACGTACTTATGGGTACCAGGAGCTCGTGTTCCTGGTGGAATTTCTTATTCACTACTTCTTATCATCACATGGGACCACTTACGGGAGAGAAGACTTGCAGGAGGGATAGTCACGCCTCTGATTTCAATAAATAGCAGGCTAGAGCTGAGTTTACTGCCTCCTCTTTCTCTGAAATTCCTCCTGGGACCCTTCTACTCCTTCATCTCTTTCAGGCCTGTTATGATGCAACAATAATTTCATTTCCCCCTCTCCCAGTATGAGAGGGGTAATCATGTCCCTGTGGTTATCGTGGTCTCTCATGATGAGCAGACATTTTGGCCTTGAGTGACAACTCTGCAAAGAGAGGAATTCAGCATCTTGGGACAACCATGGAAACACATGCTGTTAGTTTATGTGCTTTTTGAAATACCTGACTTCATTAAATTTCAAATGAAAACCGAAAGAACTGCAGATGCTGTAAATCAGGAACAAAAACAGAAATTGTTGAAAAACCTCAGCAGGTCTGGCAGGGTCTGTGAAGAAAAAAAAGCAGAATTGCAGGAACTGCATCTGGCTGAGAAACAAGTGCATACGACTGATACGTTTGTGTGACATAAATTGACAGTCAAGAAGGGGGAGAGGAAGGGTCACTGGATCCGAAACGTTAATTCTGTTTTATTCTTCACAGATGCTGCCAGACCTGCTGAGCTTTTCCAGCAACTTTGTTTTTGTTCATTAAATTTTAAAATAGTCATATGACACGGAAACAGACCCTTCGGACCAACTCGTCCAAGCCGACCAGGTTTCTTAAAACGAGCTAGCTTTTGGTCAGCTGATAATAAGACGGAAAATGTGTTAATAGTTGCCACAACTGGTTTTGAAGATAGGAATGTATACAACTTCAATAACACGATTATAAATTCTCTGGTGCTTTAGCAATTTTGATAGATGCATAGATACTTGCATATTTCCCTTTTGCAAAGTAAATTAAGATCACTATGATGTATAATTTAGCTTTGACATCTGTAGATTAGATGCAGTTATTGCTTTGATCCCAAATACAATCACAATGGATGGGCGTTGTGTCTGAATTTCAAAGAATGACATCCTTATAATTCATTGATCTTTCTTTTTCATGTTTTCAGTTGTTAGTCATCATGTCTGTAAAATGTGAAGGGAGCAATTAAGGCTCCCTGAATGACAATCTTACGAATGTTCAATCTAGGACGTGAACATAAATGCAACAATCCTGTATTCTCCATCAACATCACTATTTTTCAAAAAAAAAACTGATCATTTATCTAAATGCTGGTTATGGTATCTTGCTGAATATAAACTGGTTGCCTTGTTTCTCTAAACTGCAACAGAGGTTTCACATCAGATGTACTTGATTGGACATCCTGAGATCATAGGTGCTCATTTTAGACGCAAATTTTTCCTTCTTCCAGACATTAGATTGCAAAGATTTCACACGCTTCTGTTTTATTCCAGTGTTTTTCATTTGTGTTATAATTTAAAACCAATAGAGCAGTCACTTCAACATGATGCAGTGGTGATGAAATTGTACCAGTACACAGAAAAAGACTGAGCATGCTTAGATAAATATTTTGTAATATGTTCATGTATGATGCTACTTTATTAAAATTAAAGTTGAAGCAACTTGCAACCTTGTGCAAAATTTATGCTTACGTAAATAATTCTGAAACTGCCGATTTTGATCACTCTCAGCCCTCAGTGTTCTAGATGGACACAAAGAAATTTTTGGCAGCTTCTACATCTGCCATGTTACTGTCCTTAATCTGCTATGTTAGAAATTCTAGCACGTTTCAGGTGTGGCTGAAGAAGTGCCCTCTTTCAGTGGCAGATTATGAGGAATTGTGACATGATCACACGAACTAATATATTTCCCCTGGCTACCATCTTTTTGTGTCTCCTTCAAATTATGGGTCTAGTATAGTTGTGTGTGTAACTTCTCATCAAGATGCGCATCTTCTATTAAAGGGATTCTAGCGAAGATGAAATTACATCTGTAGGCTTTTTCCAATTTCTTGGAACTGCTGTTATGATTTTGCAAAATTCCTATGCCATTTTATTCCGGAATCTCACTTAGATTCACCATTACATGTGGAGAAATTCAGTTGGGTATGAAATCACTTGATGAAATATTCATTATGGAGAAGGAGGAGCACCAGGTAAACGAGGCTGATCAACCTTTCACCTTAAAGGTTGTGATGTGGTAGGTATTATGAAGACCTGACTAGTCTGGGCACGATTGTTAACTAACTATTCTGAGATCTAAAATCTTTGCTTTATGCCCAGACCAGCCAGGCCTGTACCTTTTTAAGACATGACATTGTGTCAAGTGATGTTCTGATAGAAAGACACCCGCCTTGCTTGTAGTCACTCTCTTTGTGCCATGGAGTCAATGTAGTCAATTATGTGTGTATAACGCACAGTGACATCAATAAGTAAAGAATGTAGACTGTGTCTAACTGTGACATGTCGTGTTATAAATAGCTTGAAGTTTATTTACAACACTTCTTCAACAAGTATCTGACTATCTGTAGAACATCGAACATACAGAAACCTAAAGAAAACACATCATGGTGGCAATAAGTAGGCATTCAAAGCTAGCTTGTGCTATTAAGTGAATGCTGAACGATGAAAATGTGATATTATAACAGTTGTGAAACTGTTTATTCCTAACAACCCTCCATTAGTCAGCCTAGGTTCAGAGGTCAAGTTCCCTTGTCCACCAAGACTGGTGTCCAGAATTTCAAGAGATGCACCAGCTATGTTTCACAAGAGGGTACTGGGTTAAAATGAGCTAAATACTGAGCAATATCACCTGGAGGAACCCAAAGTTCAATCCAGTGCTCTATGCGGGATGTGAAGGAGAGTCATTCAGGAGAGCATCCTCAGCCAGTGTACAGGTTTGTAACTCACAGTCAGATAGCACATATGGCAAACTTAAAGCACCATCAGAAAAGTCGAAGGTTTTATCTTCATCCAAAAGGAATAGACAATGTGCATTGTATGCCAAAATTGACACTGACACTGGTGCAAATGCAAATAACTCCCTTTAATGCATGTTACACAAGATGTACTCAGGAAACTGGCACAGAGTGCTGCAGTCCATACAAGATAGCCTAATTCCTTACATTATGTATGAAATCCCATGCTGTTCATTTTATGTGCCAATCCGTCTCCTCCGGATAGACACCCAAAACCACTTTTGCATCATTGAAACAGATGGGCGACTAGTCTGCCAGTGAGCACAGAGTGACATGTTATCACTGTCCATGGGGGTGACAAATTCATCAGCTCAAGTACTAAACATTCCAAACTGTAGCATTGAGTCGATCCATCACTGACTAACCTTTACCCAGACTGGCTTGATGCAGTTGGCAACTTTAAAAGTGTTAGTGTTACATCAGAAAGACTATGCTCATTCCAGGATCAAGCTTTCTTGTAAGATCAGTAACCTTATTCAGGTTCAAACTGCAATTGAATTCCACGTACGAAAAAAAAATCAGTGACAAAAGATGGCAGTCTACATACACATTTAAGGCAACTGAACAATGTAACGTAAAGATGCATAAACAAGATTCTTAACATGGAAGAGCTTAATCGCAAATTTTCAGATGCCAAGCATTTTTCTAAGTTTGGTGCCAAGAATGGATATAGGACCATAAGCCTTTCTCTGGAAATGGAACTGACCACTTTTAAAGGAACTATTGTTAGAAACTGTTTGCTCAGATCATCATTTGGGTTATCTGTAAAGCAAAGTAAATTTCAACAACCTATGGATTATATCTTAATATGGAGAATCTACTAGGTTGTTTCTGTGTCACGAATAACATCACAGTTCTCAGGGGGACTAAGCATGGAAATGAGACAAACCTACATTGACAAGAAAACGCGGTCATGTTTTCATCACTCTGAAGTGTCAAATTGACTTGAGCCAAATCAATTTCTTCAGTTCAATCTGTGTGCCAATTGGTATAGGACCTGATTGTAACAAATTAGAAGGCATACAAAAGATGCCTACCTCTGTTTTGCTTTCCTTAAACATTTCATCCTCAGATATTTTGCATTTTGTGACCAAGATAACACCTCAGAAATACGATTACCAACACATTTTTGAATCTTGCAAATATGCTTTAAATATGTACTTCAATAAGTTTGATCCCTCCAAGCTCCTCATTTGAAGGAAATGCATCTTGGAAAAGTTTTGGGGCCTTTCTCATTTATATTGAAGGATGACAAGCCTTTGC